AGTGAGGTTTTCTCATACGTAAGATAATTTTCAATGTGATGCAGTTTTGAGTTCTCCATCCATATAGCTGTGATCCAGTGACTTGGTGTTCCAGGAACTCAACAGCCATTGGAAGTTACCTCAAGGCTGTGTCTCTTGAGCTCTTTCCCGATGACAATGATTAAAACTGCAAAGTGAACACGCTTTTTCTTGGGAGAAGTCAGAGAAAAGCAAGAAACTAGGGAAGAGCCAGTGGGAAGCTTCCCATGAGAGGAATAAACATTGAGCTGGTTGGTTGTTTAGCTTTTTATAGGACTAAGAGAAAAAAACTGGACAAAGACCGAGAATCCTAGCAGAGCGTGGTGGCTCACACCTTTTATTCCAGCACCCAGCACCTGGGGGTGAGGGGTGAGGGGGCCAGAGACAGGCAGATCCTTAGTTCAAGGCCAGCTTGGTCCACAGAGCAAGTACCAGGCCAGCCAGGGCCACACAGAGAAACCCTGTCTGGAAAACAAACTCACCGAGACTCCTATTTGAATTGGTTGATTCTCTGCACACATCAGGGACTGGGACAACTAAAGGTTTACATACTCTGCATGCTCTTCTGGCCCACTCAGATAGGGGAGCGGTCACTTTCTGAAGCCCCCTGTTCCTCTCTGACTTGCTCTGTTGAGCTTGGCTGGTTTGCTGGCTGTTAGCCTGGTCTGGTGCTGCCAACTCTGCCAGCCTTGAAGGTTTTAGTTGATCTGACCTAGATGAGGTCTGTGAGCAATCATCAGTTCTCTTGATTCTCCTGGTAGAGCATAGTGGGGAGTGACTGTCAGTTACCAAGACGTAGCCACAGGCCTTTTTGATTATGGAACTCTAGCTCCTTGTCTGTGGTGGTGCCCTCAACTAAACACCGGTCTGTTACATTTTGCCACATTAGGAGAAGTGTGCAAGTGTTCTGGGCTTCATGCAGCTCGCCAGCAAACTTACAAACATCAACTTGCTTCCCAGAGCCGTTTTCCTGTTATCTAGTCAGTTTGTCTCATATCCAGCTGCAAGCCATCTTAGCTCTCTTCTCAATGCTAGCAACCCCTTTCCCTGATTCTGCACCCCTCAGCACTGTGCTTACATTGAGTGTGTAATCCCACCCACTTTGCTCAGTAAAGCATTCTTACTTGCTAAAACATCTCCCTAGCTCTTCCCTCCCTCCTCAAGACAAGGTCTCAGTGTGCAGGCCAGGCTGGCCTTGAACTCATGATCCTTCTGCTCTGCCTCCTGAGTGCTGATATTACAAGTTTAAATATAAATAACTATTTACATTATAACAGTTTGGATGCAAGCTCTGTGCTTTCCAATTCTTGCACATTCACATTATTTGGACTTTAGGAAACATATTTTAGTGTCTGAGTGTTTTTCTGGCATGTTTGTATGTACAGCTTTTGGTGCCCTCAAAAGCCAAAACAGGCTGTCAGATGTGTTGGAACTGGAGCTATGGGTAGTTGTGAGCCACTGCGTGGGCGGTGAGAAACTAAACCCGGATCCTCTGCACGAGCGGCCAGAGCTTCCCCTTAAATGCAGTGTGTTCTGTCTGCAGGTGCGTCTGTGCAGCACATACATGCCTGGATTAGATGGCGGGTGCTGGCAAGCAGGCCTGGGTCCTGTGCAACAGCAGCCAGTGCTCTTGACCACTGAGCCGCGGCTCCTGGCAAGATTTCCTTTCTCCCCTTTTTCCAGTGTTGGGTAGAACCCACGGCCTCCTGCATGCCAAACGCTCTCCCCCTAGTTTTACTCTTAAAGCTTAACCACAAAATGCCTTCAAATATTAGGAGATGAGTTGTGGGAGACAGCTCCTTTGGTGAAGTACTTGTCAGACAATACCAAGGGCCCGAGTCCTATCGCCAGAACCCAAGGGTGCGTAATCTTTGTGTCGTGAAGGCAGATGGATCCCTGGGGCCAATCTAGCCTACTTGGTGAGCTCAAGGACAGAAAACAAGGTGGACTGCACCTGGGGGAATAGTGCCTGAGGCTGACCTGCAAGCCTCCTCCACATAACCATCAAAACACAGATCCACACTTGGAAATAGTCAAATCAAGGCTGCAGAGATGGTTCAGCAGTTAAGAGCATCAGCTGCTGCTCTTCCAGAGGACACAGGTTCTGTTCCCAGCACCGACATGGCTGCTTACGGCTGTCTGTAAAAACTCCAGTTCCAGGGTATCCAAGGCAAAAGACACACTGAGTGGCACAGACAGGTGTGGAGGCAAAAACCCATTCACAAAAAAAAAAAAAAAAAAAAAAAAAAAAAAAAAAAAAAAAAAAAAAA